TGTGGCGGCTGCACATCTTCTCAAATCATAGAAAAATATCATTTTGACACGGACATGGGACCAGAGTCAGGGGTTCACCCCCTGCTTCACAAAATTCGTCCCTTTAACACCTTGCATTTGTTTGGAAATTTCTTTATTAAATACTGACCAGACCAAAGCCTGTTTGATTTGGCAAGTGCAGACCTGGGGGAGGGGGTCAAGGGAAAAAAAAAAACCAACAACACTGCAGCCGATTCATCCCTCCTTGTTTATTCCACTAGAAATAGATTTGGCAGAGTTCATCAGGAATGAACTAATCAGCAGGGAATTAATTGGCGTGTTAGTTAAAAGGCAGGAAGAACGCAGTGAACAAATTCATGACTGGATGGCCGGAGGGTTCAAGCAGCCAGAGAGAAGCACTGCATAGTGGAAACTGTGATTAGTACGAGAAGTCATACAGATGTGCCAGAGAGCCAGCAGTTGAGAGCTGCCCAAAAGAACCAGAGGCAAAGATAACACGGGTGTCCTTGGAGACAGAGCTGTTTTTGAGAAGAGCTCCATTGCCCAGGCTTTCCTTCCCATAAGGCTCCCATGTGCGGGGAGAGATGGCTAGTTTGCAGGAGTGGGAGGGAGGGGTAAGAGAGGTACAGCTGGAGGAGGCTCCACGGAAAGACTGTGGAAATGTAGAAAGCAGGGAAATGAAGAGGGACACGTCACTTGTTGCAAGTTGAAATGCAGAGGGAGTGTTAAGGGGAAGAAAGGAGGAGGGAGGCAAAGATTTGGAAGCTTCATCACAGAAGAACCGGCCTCAAGAGCAAAGGTAATGCTTGTATACAATTCTATGCCTTCTTTCCCAGGAATGCTTTGTTTCTTCCTCTGAAGAAAATAGATCCATACACCTCAGAAAGAGGTTGTTGCATTGAGGGACTCTAAAGGCACCTGTGGGAAGAGTCAGGAGAGGAAGTGCTGACTGTCATGAACATGGATTTGGAGGATTCCTACAGACTACGGGGTTGTGCAGAGTGAGAGAAGTAGGGAGAAAGAAAGAGAAATCAAATCCTTAGAGTCAGGCAGACTGTCAGACAGGCAGACATGGCGAGTGCAAGATGTGTGAGTGCCTATCTAAGGAAAGAGAGGAAACATCCTAAGAGGAAAGACTAAGCACTAAATGAGAGTTGAAGATAAGACATATCCTGAGAAAGCAGGCACACCTGGAGAAGAGGCATAAGGTGAATACTACCTCCTCAAAACCAACGGTACTTTACAGATGCACAGCAGCAGATATGTGCTTTGCACCTGGATGACTTTTTTCCTTCTTTTTCCCCACTATGGCTACCTGCTGGCAACAGCATCACCCCAGCTGTCTGTCATCAGGGCTGTCAATTGGATCTCCTAGTTTGACAAGGTGGACAGCTATTTCAGGGATTCAGATACTCTTCACTTTCACACAGCACCCAGGTAGAAAACGAGCACTGTAACTCTTAGTTATATAAGAAAGCACTACTTAACTCAAATTTGTTGCCAAACATGAAAAATTCAGGATATTGTTATTCCCACATATTGTTATTCCAACCTCAAACTGAGTGTGTGTTTTTACTAGCATATAGCATTATACCCACACATGTAAATTGAAGAATATTCCATTACAATGGATTTATAATAAATATTTTTAAAACAGATGATATTCTAGCTGTACCACTGTGGCTGGCTTAATATTGTAGGATATAATTTTTAAAATTATTTTTGGCCTTTTTCATGATCTTTCCACCATTACATAATTGTACAAGCTTATGCTTATGTTTCTTTTATTTTTTCTCTTGGAGAGCTAACAAATGCCATCCGCTTTGCAAATAGAGCTTGCAAATGCTTTGATTGTTCTGGACTCACAGGCTTGGCAGCTTTCTCCTCTAAAAGCTCAGAGACTTTTCAAGATCCCAGACTGGGAGTCTCACAGAACTGGCATTAGAAATTGTATGCAGCTACAATATGGTTGACTTTTTTTTGTTTTTGTGGGGTTTTTTGTTTGTTTGTTTGTTTTTGTTTGTTTTTTGTTTGTTTGTTTTTTTTGTTTGTTTGTTTTTGTGGGGGTTTTTTTTTGTTGTTTTTTTTTTGTTGTTGTTGTTGGGTTTTTTTGTGTGTGGTTTTTTTTTTTTTTAGTAAGAAACTGGTTTATATAACCTGAACCTTCTTGAACCTAATACATAAAACAGAGCCTCTTAGTTTGGTGTAAGTAATGTAACCTTAAAATATTGCAATGGAAATAAGAGAGATAAAAGGAAAAAAATATAGAGGAATTCCAACAGTCTGCAAAAATAGCTTTATTATATATTGAGATCCTTTACAAAATAGAAAATCTTAAACATACTTTGATGTTTAAATACCCATTATCATTGGAGTGACAGCTACATTTTATGTATTTATGATTTACCTGAGATCAAATTCCCTGATTCACTTAGAAGTATATTTTATTTCCCTGCAAACTACCCAAAATCCAGAATCACTCTTCAGCTTTGGTCTGAAAGTAACACAAAAAGAACTGGAAAAAGTTATGAGAGGAGAACAGACCTCAAATGAAAAGCATGAATGTAATTCACTTGCATTTCAATATTCAAATGCAGAAAAAAATTTCCTTTATTTTAGGTATGACTGCAGGGATTTATAACTCTAATCAACAACATCCTCTTCTCAAAGCAAGCATGGGCTTGATCTAACACGCTGGGATGTTGATGCACTCAGGAGAGGGCATGTGTTTAGAGCACTCAGAAGTACAGGGGAAGGTTTCATGCCCTCTTGATGTGCAAGGGGCAGGCAAGCTCTGCATTGTAAAGCAACAACTCACATGTCTGCAGTAGGATGAGTGTGTTCTCAGGCTTCAGGGGAGAGAGGGGAGAGCTTCATTTCTCTGAAATGAAGCTGTGTTTGGTACTAGAAGTAGGTAACCTGGGCAAATCCCCTATATCCTGGCAGGCAGCATAACCCACAAGCAGTGGTGCACTTCAGTCATCACGCTTGACCCCAGCTGTCAAAGTGTGAGGCAGACACCAAAGAAATCTCAGGGCTCTGTTGTGATTACCCACTACACTGTGAGGAGGGATGAGCACCAGAAATGGAGCGACAAGAAGCCAAAGGAGTTAATGGGAGAGGAACAGTGATGGGAGTTCAAATACTGGCAGTACTCCTTTGCTTTGGGGCAGGGATTCTGGCTTGGACAGCACAACTGCTGATCCCAGCAGGGCTGTGCTTAGGGTATTGAGCTAGCTGAGCTCTTTTATCATGCTGAAGTGAGGAATCAAAAGGTTAAAAGATGAAAAAAGTATTGTGTAATAATGAGACAAATATGTTGGTCTTCACTGCCTGCAAATGAAGGGACTGTCCAGTGAATCACTGAGCCTACCCTGCTCCAAGGGCAGAATGTGATGTAATTTTCTGACAGCACTTCATATTATTGTAATTAATAGTAACAATTATAAAGCTAATATGTTGATATTGTTATTCTCTGCATTTAGGAAAAGAGTTTCCATCCAAGGATGTGAGAGAGTTCTCCCTGCTTATCCATCTGTATTCTACCCTGATAGTACTTTCCAGTGCAACTCTGCAAAAGAGAAGACATATGTGAATCAGCTGGGGATCTGATTCCTGTTACAGATGACCCCACAGACTTTTTCAGCTAAGAACTTTGTTAGCGAATATCCATTTGCTGTTTACAATTCCACCTAAGAGAGGGAAGATTGCTCATTTTCTGTGTGCCTGAGGTATGAGAATCTACTTCCAAGATGATTATAACCTGATGTTTACTGTGATAATAAATCACAGTAGACCCTCAGGAATGCAGGGAGCAAAGCTACAAAGAAACTGGTCTGTGAGGGACCCTGCAAATAGAACATGTGGGTATTGTGATTCATTTGGACACCTGATGTTTTAAAAAGCTCGAGCTCAAGTAAGGTGGATTTTCAGTATAAGATGTAGGTGGAATTTATTACCACCCTACTTTTAACAAACAGAGAAAGATCAAAGTACCCCAGCTGTGGGGTACTGAAACAAGTGGGAGGTGGAAATGATAAGGAATGGACAATCTCTTCAGGAAGTTTTCCAATTAGCTTGGAAGCCACACTGTCTCCTTGATGTTGGCAGCACTTTCAAATAATTTGCAATTAGACACATCAGTGTCTGGTAAGTCCTTTCCCATCAGGGAAGATTAAAAAGGCATGTGCGGGGCATAGTCATTCAAAGAAAGAGAGAAAAAAAAAAAGCTGTAAAGGCTGGCGCATTTATCTGGAAAAGCTGAGAGGTGGAGGAGGTATGGTGTCAATGCAAATAATTTCAAGAAGGTCCATGAAGTCCTTTTCATTATGAGCTTTGGTGATATTGTCAGACCTTCTTAAAGATCTTTATTTTGGCAGCTCTGAGTTAGTGGGAAGAAAAGGTGTATGCATGTGTGAGATAGGAAGAAGGTAATTTATTTTTCCTTTAAATGAATACTCCAATTAGATGAAGAATACTAAATACAAATTACATCCTGACAGATGGAAAGTAATGTTTTTAAAGTATGATGACATTTTCCATTAGTGTGGCTATATTCATACTGGTACTTTAAATAGCAGAAAAATAAATGCAGTTGCAATTAAAATGCACTAGTGATAAAATGTAAGAAAGACACGAAGTGAAAGGAATTATTTATTTACTGTTTTGTCTGCTACAGCTTCTGGTAGGTTTTGAGGTGACTGAATTCTTCCCAGATGGTCAGGAGATAAAGGTTATATTATCTTAAAAAAGAAATTTAATGTCCTCATATTTTGCGGTGAGATCTTAGATTTTTGATGCACGTACCTGAACAGGAGAATAATTCAGATTTTCTGGATGTGCCTGCTTTTCACACGAGCCCCTCCATCACTGTGACTACAGATGACCAAAATCATCACTAAACTCTGTGAACTTGGCAATGCATTTTTTCTGTTTGCTATGTGCAATATGTGCATAATGGATAATTTCTGCCAATTTCTAGCAGAACAGCTGTTCATGACTTTTTTTTTTTTTTTAATTAGAATACCAGATTCAACACTGAGGGACTAATTTGTTAGGACAGAATAACAAATCAGTGTGAGTAAGCTGTGGAGAGATTGACCTATCCTCTTACGTTTAGACATGGTACTTGCCCAAGAGGGTGTGTAGGTTAGGGTTGACTTCCTTAGCTTGGAAATGATGGCAAACTTGAAAGAAAACAAGGAGTTAAGTAAGTGTTCAGTGCAGTTAATACACATGTCCTATCAACTCTGCAGCTTTGCTCAGGAGGAACTGACCCTGTGACATCAGGACAAGGTGAAGACAGTACATAGGGGGTGGGGTTACCTTTGAGGCTCCATCACTGGGCAGCATCTAAGATGTTGCCACTGGTTAGTGGATCAGATCAAAAGAACATTTGTTTTTTTTTTATTCTGTCCCTTATGAGACACTTGATAAATTGTTTAATGGTTGTTTACCTTGTTTCTCCCAAATACAAAGTAGGAGTGCAGTGATTCTCACACTTTTAGTACTTCCTCCTGACACTGCTAGAACAATTGTGGCTATAAGGTGCTATCCTAACATTGCCACATAGGAAGTAAAGCTACTTCCCCAGCATCTGCTGGTTGATGAAGCATCTCAGTACCACTCTGTTCCTTGAAAAGGAAGTAAAGTTTGTCCTTGTGAAAAAGAAAAGTCCTTGTGCTTTTGTAAAACCTATTCTGAGCAACTTGAGCAACATTTTAAATAAAAACATAACCAAAGAGAAATTTGGTGTTGTGGTGACAGATGGGAAAGTGTAAAAAGAGAAGAAAAAATAAATAAAACACTTAGCAAGACTTTTTGTCTCCACAGAGACAGGGGAAGTCAAGATCCTACAACAGCCATCATGGTGACTCTTCCTCTTTTCCTCCTCTTCATCCTTTTGCCCTGCAGTAAATCTCAGGAGGACTTTCTGGACCAGCATCAGAAATGGAACTACAGAGAAGGCGGTAGGAAGTCACAGTCACAGTGCTGGTTCAGCATGGGAGGCATTCAGTAACTCAGAGATGCAGATTCACTTATTTTGTCCTTGAAGTGAGATAGACAGCGCTTGATTGCTGGGTAGCTGCTGAGACCTCTGGAGAAAAAAAAAAAAGTGGTTTTAGAAATAATCATCTGGGGTATCCAGTGACAGCAAAAAACCTGGGCACCTAGAGGCAGAGAATTACACTGTGAGGGAGAGTTACCTGCTTTTTAATTTAGATCCTCCATGTGTTTAATATTCGGCATTTCATTGCAACTGAGTTGTGATGGGGAATGGAATCAAACTCGGAGCACTAGCTTTTATTTTCTTGTGCTGACACATTTGTTTTCCCCTCTTCTATGGACATCCTGCTAACCTAGCTGACAAGGTCAACATAGAAGGTGTTTACAGCATTACTCAAACCCTTGAGAAATGGGGAAATGACATCTTCTGGCAAATGAAGCATACCCTGCTGAACAACCCAAATGCTCTCCTGCCTGAGTTCTCCAGGTAATTCCTCTCATCTGGAGGTAGGATTCAGTCCTCTTCTGGGTGTCCTTCCTTGAGCAGGATTCATCTTCTTAAAGATGAATTTTCATATTTCTCAGCTGGGGGGAAATAAAATACACTGTTGTGTACCAGTACCTGTTGTGCTACCAGCTCTGATTAATAAACTGAATATTCTGCTAACTATTTATTGTGAAACACTCTCAACCGCCATCACTGTATTACAAGAATCTTCCTAAAGAAAATGCCCTTGGCAGCTCACACTTGTGAAAACAGCCTGGAAAAAATGAACTGTTTTACGAATCCACACATGGGTTTGGCCACAGGTCAGGGAAAAGAAGCTGATTTAGTCTGTGATGATTTTTTTATTTCAGTCTCTAGGACCTAGATCTGAGAAAGCTATTCACTAGTTCATGTCATCATATTCCCCCTTTGCATTGCAGGAGATATTAACTGTTGAACAAACTCACAAAATTTACTTCAATCTCTATTTCCAGAAAAAGAGTAGGAGAGGCAGAGAAAGAAAGAGAGGAAAAGGGAATACTGGGAATTATTAGAAACCTAATATCACTTAAATTAGAATTGCTCATAAAGCAAGTAAAGTGTCTGTCTTCCATAACTAATTGCTCTTTTAATGGTTGCTTGCAACTCTTTCATCATCAAGGGCCCTTACCCAGCAAGAAACAAAGGTCATGGTCAATTACTTCGCATGCTCAGAAACACTCCCTAAACTGAGTTATTCTTCTATATTGCTCTCTTTGTAGTCTCCGCCCAGTCTCTGCTGCTGTGGACAACCTCGTGAGGGAAGTCCAGTCGATAAGGAAGAGGCTGGAAGAACTAAATGAACGTCTCAATGTCATCAGCAAAACTGTCCTTCCCCTTCGACTGAACGCTCTGCAGAGCCAGAGGCGTGGAAATACTCAGCTGCGGAGACTCCCGACACATAGGAGAAGGTTATATGCTCGCAGGAGACCTCAGAGCACTTAATTCTCTACCAGAAAAAAGGGAAATCTTTAATTTTTGTTTTCATCTGCTTAAGCCTTTCTCAATGGGACATTGCTGGAGAGAAAAAATTAAAGCACAGACACAAGTCAGCTTTGCTAAGGAGATCAGAACTTTTGCATTTTGTTGCTGCTTTCCAAACCTAGGTCAGTAGGTGAAACCTCACCCTGTTCTTTAATGATGTCTGTTTTGTGTCCTGGGCAAAAAAAAGTAGACAAGCTCAATGTACTTGAGCGTGAATACCTTTAGTCTATGCAGGCATTCTTTCTGCTTACCAGAGGATGGTCTTTCTATAAAGATCAGGTGAATTTCTCTCTCAGTCCTATTTTTAAAGCACTCGTTCTGAAACAGCTGAGGAATTTGAACTTCAAAAGTTCTGAACAACTGATGAATGCAGAAAGATGGATTAGTGCTTGGCACTTCCAGCTGGGCAGGGAGAGGAAGTTATGTTTCAAAATATAGTCTTAACCTATTGTCCATGTTCATATGTTCAGAAGGTGGGAAGGGCTGGATAATCTTGGTCTGTACATCATGCTTCAACACTGAAGATATATCAATTGCTAGGGAACAAATCTGAACATCCACCTTCTGCAAAGAGTGTTTTTCTAGCTACCTGGAACTGTGCACTTAGAATGGTGTTATTCAGTAGTTATGTTCAGAATTTCCAGCATTCTGAAATACACTGAGCTGATTTTTGCCAAGACCCAGGGAAACCAGGGTTTGTTTTTTTTTTCCCCCCTAAAACTATTTAGATACCTAATGGCAAAGATAGGTGTCTGGAAGGATCTTCCAAAATAGCTTAAGAGTCTCTTCAGTCCCCAAAATCACAGATAATAATTCAATTGGTGTCTAGTTCACAGAGTATTTTCTCCTTATGCCAGCACTGACCTCCAGACATTTCCCAACATCCTTTAGCACAATTATTATCTGTAGAAAATTAACAACCACGCTCTCCAAAGACTTTGGTCCCTCAGGGATTACCCAGAATACCCTGCCTTCAGCTTATCTTTGCCTGTGTCTTCCTGACAATAAAGATGGTGATAAAAAAGAGTGCATGAATCAAATTATGCACTGAATGGAGGATAGGGTGGGCTTGCCCTTCAGGTCTCTAAAGATAAATCCAATACAGAGATTTCCATTCAGCATTGCAGTCAACTGTGTATATGAAATGTGTTGAAATATAAGAAGGAGAGTCAAAGAGGAAAAGAAACATGTTGTCTTTAAGGTCTGGATGGAGCAATTTATGAGAACACAAATAAAGAATGGATTATGTCTAAATGATGGTCTGGCATGACAGTTGTTTTGAAAACACTCTCCAGTCACAGCGAGGATGCAGACTAGCTATTTAAAGATTCCCAAAGCCTGAGTTAATGGAAAGAAATTCAGTGACAGTACAATAACCTCCAAAAGGAAAGGAGGAAGAAACTAGTTTCATATGACATCTTTTAGAATGGACCAGAAGAATTAACACTGTAAGAATTTTAGCTGCAACCTGGGAGTTTGCTGAGTGGGGGAGGTATGAGCAGTGTATGAGACAATCCGATAATTATTTCCCGGATGTAAATTCTCTGAGTTCAGGTCTTCAGAAAATAACAAAACTCTAACTTGGCTCTCTTAGGCTTTTGCTTGGGAATGTGAAACCCTGCTTAGCTAGAGAAGGGAAAAATCAAGACTGTGAAAAGGCTGATAAAAGAATACAGTTGTGCCTTTGTTGAAGTTGTCATCATAATTTCTCAGGAAATGTAGAGCATTTTGATCCCAGAATATATTTACATAAATTATAAAGAATAACAGGAGAGAAAGGCCCCTAACTTCTTGTTATTTTGTATTCAGAGTTTCTAGGCTGTGCTGTAGCAACAGCTGCATCCTTGCACAGACTGCTGATCCCTCCAAGGGATGCTGTGCTTGGGGCTGTAGGGACTGCTGGTTATTTTGGCCTATCTAGAGGAAGAGTACAGCCTAAACGTTAGCTTTCATGGTGGTATTTTAGACACAAGCATTTTATCAGGCAACCTGAAGCCATATAAATTGAGGACTACTTGAAACAGAAAGATGAGTCTTCCCTAAGTCACTAAAGTTACAGATAGCTGGTGATGGGAGGCCAGACCAGATCACTGCAGACTTTTACTTTATACCTAGATGTCCACCACCAGCTTCTGCCAGAGACAGAGGACAGGGCAAGATGGACCCCCAGTCTAACCCAGTCCACATATTCCTACACTGATATGTGCAAGTCCGTAGTCTTGGCAAAACCTCAAAAGCACAATGGAGAAAGTAAAAATTTGTTTTAAAAGAGAACAAATAAGCTGCAGCATGCAATGTATATTACAATTCTGCAATTTCTTGCATAATGGTGAATAAACCAAATAATATAAATGGTTAATAAATTACTAACCTGTGACCTTGTCACCAGTGATAGCAGCCCCTGTCATTCACCCTGTGAAAGCCCATGCCAGGCTCCAGAACAGCTCCCTGACCTGATCAAACAGCCTGTTTGATCAGATGATAACAGCCAGCTTCTTTAACCTCTTTGCCTTTGCACGACCCTCTCTCTAGATGGAAAAGTTTTAGTGTCCTATTTCTTCTACAATTTTAGTTTTTGCTCTTTAAGACTGTAGGAAGGTTATGTGCCAGCCTACTTCTGCACTGTTCACCTTCTCTTTGAGGAGGCAGCAGTCCAGCTGAGTAACTTGAGATGCCTCTATCCCATCTGCCTGGGGAAGCTGGCCTGACCCACGAGACTGATTCCCAGGGACTGGTATTTTTATTTCTGCTACTGCTAACCTCTTCTTAAAAGACCCTGGGTAAGGCACTTTCTCTAACTGTCACTCGTCCTCTGACACGGCTTATACAACAAGAAACCACTTGTCACAAGGTGTCTAAGTCTTCTATGCATATAAATGTATCCAGCTACAGAAGCGATCTAAGCTCTCTGTTGCGTTTCATTTACATGTACTCTGGGAAAGGATCTGGACGGAACTTTTAAACATACCACCAGTTGGGTGGTCAGTGGAAGGAGATCAAGTATCATTAGGAACTTCTAAAATCTATTCCTCACCTAAAGCTTACAATATCCAGTGACACAGACCACTTCCTTAAAAAATAACTATGTTTCTCTTTCGCACTGTTTGTTTAAAATAGCCCACAAAAGACCGAAAAATCAAGAAAAATCATAACCAAGACGTTATGATTTTTCAATTCCAGGAGCATGATGCCCTTCCACACTATGCATGACACACTTTGCCAGCACTTCCCTTTTCCTGTATTTCATTCCCCTCTCATATTTCCTGTCTCCCAGACAGGAACACCATCTGTTCCCGCACTTCACGACTCCTCACCCTCCTCGGCGCCCTCCACATCCAGGCTCCGGGCGGGCGCTCCCGGTGCCCCCAGCGCGGCCGCGGCCCCGCGGCCCGGGGCGCGCCCTGCCTGGCGGCGATGGCCGCGCTGCGGGCGGGGCGGCTCCGGCCCTCCCACCGCCCCCAGCGGGGCTGAGCCGGGCCGGGCCGAGCGGGGCAGAGCCGGGCTGAGCAGGGCAGAGCCGAGAGCCGAGCGGGGCAGAGCCGAGCCGCGGCATCATGCTGGGCATGGTGAAGAACTCGCTGCTGAGCACGGTGGAGGCATGGCCCTACCGCCTGCTGAGCAAGGGCGAGAAGGTCGGTGCTCTGTGCCCGGCGCTGCTCCCGGGCGGGTCTGCGCTAAGGCGCTGCGAGGGAACGCGGCTATGGTCCCCGGGCAGCGCGTTCCTCCTGGCAGCGCCTCCATCCCCATCTCCTTCCCCAGGACCAGCTCAGCTACGAGGAGAGGGCGTGCGAGGGCGGCAGGTTCGCGGCGGTGGAGCTGGTGGGGAAGCCGTTCGACGAAGCCTCGAAGGAAGGGGCAGTCAAGCTCCTCAAGTACGTCGGAGGAAGCAACGACAAGGGTGAGAGATGCTGCCTGCCCCGCGGGGCTTGGCGGGTGTTTGTGGTTGAGGCTTGGTGAAAGCAGGATGGATGAAGGCGATGGCACTGCAGGCCCGCCTGGCCTGTGGCTCCTGGCACTGAGGGTCTTTCTCTCACTGGGAAAAGTAAACTTGCAACAGGTTGAGTCGTGCCCAGCCAACTCGTGCTATGAGTCCACTTATAAAACATCTCTGTTGCAGGGCGAAATCTCAAAAATTATTTGTTTGAACAGGAATGAGTTACCTTGCAGCTGGCATAGCATGAGGACAGGCAGACATGTATCTGTCACAGCTCCCTGGGTGAGCAGTACCTGATGAAATCCAGGGTATCTGGGACACTTCAGTTCTATGATGTGCCCTTGTGGGCAGTGAAATAGCAGTTATGACCTTGATATTTTATCTGGCTATTTTTATTCATGAAAGGGTGGTGAGCAATGAGGTTCCTTTTTAATGCTATATTGTAACGTTTTATGGCAGTGCTTCCAGGTGATTGCTTCTAATTCTCATTTTACTGAAGTGAGTGCATTTTAACCATTCATGGCTGGAGAAGACTACAGAGTACCTCTGAGGCATATATATGTTATTGAACACCTTTCTCCAGCATCTAGTAGAGGGACTAGTGTAGTCTTCATAGGAGTAGGAGGTGGATGCAGTGGGAAATGGTATTTGCAGCAACATTTTTGGAAAAGTGATAATCACTGTTGCTGTAGTAGAAAGGGTTCTATAACATGTGACACAAAGACAGGTATGACATCAAAGGAAAAGAAATGAGAAAGATGGCTTGATCTCAACTGTTTTTATAGCTGCCTGATCGTAAGGTTTAGAGGTTCCCTACTGCTGCAAGAAGAGTGCAGAAAACTTGTCTTCAGTGCCATGTGGTACTTCTTGGTGGTAATGGCTAGGAAAAAACCATGCTGTTCCTAGAGTGTGGACAGCAGGTTTGGGGCACTGGAACTTGTAGGATGTCTGGAAACATTTGGAAGGTTTTAAGAGAAAGCTGCCAGTGTTGGCTGTGGGCTCACAACTAAGTGCAGATAGTATTAATTTAAATGCTATGTAGATTTATATGTGCCACTGGCTTGCCCTGGAGCTACAGACCCTTCTGTCTTACAGCTGATTTGTCAGAAGAACAGAGTGCCTCATAGCACCACAAAAGCAGCACCATTAATAAAAAACATTCCAGAGGTCAGTTAGGACACTTATTTCCCAGGCTCCTGGTGTGGAGATAGAGCATGGCCCAAGCAGAAGCTTGATGATGGCTGTTCTGCTTCTCCAGAGGAGCCCACTCCTGACAAGGAGCTTGCTCATATGAGGAGTTTCCCAAAAGTAAAATTAGCTTTTGCAAATTCCCTGATAATTTTGTGAGTTCCTGAGAACCTAGACTTCTTTAGTAGTGTCTCTGTGTCTGTTTCAGGAGTTGGAATGGGCATGACTGCTCCTGTCTCCATCACTGCTTTTCCTGCTGAAGATGGCTCCTTTCAGCAGAAGGTGAAAGTCTCTCTGCGGATCCCGAGCCAGTTTCAAGACAACCCTCCTTGTCCTACTGATGAAAGCATTAAGATTGAAGAAAGACAGGGGATGACCATTTATTCCACGTAAGGAATGCATCCTGGGATCTCCAGTCTCAAGTGATGAGGTCTTTAGGGTGCTCTGAAGAGCAGTATCTGTTTTACCAGGTGACTTGCTGTACAAGAGGTGCATGTGGCAGAAGGAGATGGAGGATTATGTCTAGACTGAAGACAGGTGTTTTATGTCACTTCTTACCCTGGTCATGCTGCACTGATTTGGAATATGGATTTTTTTCCCACTGAGTAAACAAGTGTGGAGGCTAGCCCTGAAAAACGCTGTGTCATATCTATTGTTTTTCCCACTTTCTGGGTTCCAGATTTTTCGTAGTCATTAAGAATGTTCTTTGGTATGCTTTGCATCAAACTGTCCACTGAAACCTGATTCAGATGGACTCATACCAGACTGCACCATGGAAACAAGCAGCCACTGCATTGCTTCAAATCAGCTTTGAATGTCTTGTGCTGTTGACTGACAGCCTGGACTCAAACTAGCATCACAATAGCAATAAGCTCTTCACCTTGTCTTTACCCTTTGGAGGTTTCCCTGCCTACTTTCTTGAACTATTTTGGCTGACTCTAATTGACTTTTTTTCTTGCCTCCAACTGCTGCTTGGTCTTTGTTCTGGGTGTGGGCCACTTCTGTAATATCAGCCTGTTTTGTCTCCAAGGTTGGCCCTGAGGGAGGGGGGTGAGGAGCAGGCTGATGTGGAAACAGTTCCTGTTGGTGGGAGGTCAACATAAACCAGACTCATTTCAGCCCACTCCTTTTAAATAGCATCGTGCTCTGTAATTGCCAATTGTCTGTTCCCACCTCCCCTTTTTCTTGGGCTAGCTAGAGTTTGGTTTTCCTTCATGACCTTTCCAGCAGATGGTTGTTCACACCACAGTCAATATGGTTGTTGACAGCATTGGTGAGGACTGTGGGCTGACTTGTAGATAACCTTGTGTTTTAGAAAGTTGTTTCTCTGATATGGTGCTGATTCACAGGGCAGGGCCATTCTGCTGGCTGATATACATGGCACTCTTTGGGGGGGATCCCTCTGGGGCCTCCAAGTGGATGACTGCACCTTGGCTGTGTCACCCATGAGACTTCATCTGTCTCACATGAAGTGTGCTGCTTCACAGTGAACAGTGCATGCATGGGTGCATGTTGGCACGGCCTGGATCAAAATGTGTGTCTAAATATACTGTGGCCATATACTGTTCTCTGTCTCTTCCTTCTGTGCTTTGCCACGACTGCTCAACACCTCTCTGGTTTCTTTGCAGGCAGTTTGGTGGCTATGCCAAAGAGGCAGATTATGTGAGCTATGCTGCCAAGCTGAAGGCTGCTCTGGGGAGTGATGCTGCATACCACAAGGATTTCTACTTGTGCAATGGTTACGACCCCCCTATGAAGCCTTATGGACGCCGCAATGAGGTCTGGTTTGTGAAGGAGTGAACATCTGGCTCCCTGTGGTGCTGCCTTGCAGTGATAACCTCCCCAAACTATGGCCCCGCCCTCTTTAAAATAAACTAATAATTCAGCAGAGGGAAAAAACTGTCACTATCTTTCTCCATGCCAATGCCTTAGTCTTTTATGGACCATAAAAGTCATTTTAGAAGAACACTTGCTGACCCTCCTGATGATCCTGCTCCTTCATTCCAGATCAGGTCCTCAGCCACACAGTCTCTTTTGATCTCTCCGTGGCTTATTTTATCTCCTTTGTGCTTCCAGAGTTCAGTGCTGAGAAAGCCAAAAGTACTTAATTGACTGGTGCCTGACAGGAGTCACGTCCAAGTGTAGGCAGACTATTAGTCTCACCTGAGACGGGCAGGAGAACATGACAAAAGTGCACACAGAGACTTTTTTATCTCCTTCAATTTGCTGCAGCTGTAAAATGCAGCTTTTATCTTTGCCATTCCACTAAAGGGACACAGACATTGCTGCCAACAAAACACAGAGAAAATAAAAACCCTTTACATTAATTGAGAGTGTGCAGAGGATCAACGTTTCTGTCATCTGTCTGAGAAATGTTTTTCAGAGAAAGATCCGAATTCTGTTTGCAGCTTTCTTCTGTTTGAGGAGAGATGTTTTGGTGTGTGCTGTGCCTTCATCTCAGCTAGCAGCTGGACAATGTGACCTGGAGACCTCAAGATTGTTTCCTCACCTTCCTATTACTTTTGTGTAATGTTTTTTTACAACTAGCCTATGCAAGGGCCAAAGCAGAAGTATGTGTGGTTATCAAATTGAATAAGAGAAGTGCAAGGCTGGGAAGAAAGCAGATGCTTATTACTTGTAATCCGAGGGTGCATTTGAAGAATGGTGAACATATGGTGAAGCTACCATGGGTGCCAATCTAAAAAAACGTTTCTTAAAATGTGTCAGTTTCTGAAGGGCTACTCAGACCAGCCGTTTTCTTTAGAGGAGGAAAAGGAAAACATGGCTATCCTGGAAAGCAGGGACTTGGGTCAAATAATGAGTAGCCTTTTGGAAACTTCAAGTACAGTAGCAAGTGTGTGGGTCACGTTTCAGGAAGAGTAGCAATGTTGAAATGTCAGGCATCAAGCCAGCATTTTAGCTGTTGGCTCTGCCAGGGAGACAGCAGAATACCCCAGTGGGAGCACTCACACACTCTGGGTATGTATAATTCTTCATTACCCGCACTAAAAGAGGTGTGGTCCTCTGGTGGTTAAGTGCCCCATAGTTCAGGTGATTTCCAAAAGCTGTTTTCCCCTGGAGCAGAAAGAGATGTGTCAGATGGAATCGTAGCTTCTGGCTGGTCAAGCTGTTGCACGTGTGCCTGCTTTCTGAGAACAAATCTCAGCAGTGAAAGGAGAAAACCTGAGGTTTTGATGTGCCTTCCTTTTCTCTCTTGCTGCGCTATATAAGAGCTTTGCTGTGAACTTCGTAAGAGTTTCAGTCACCTGTGTGCAAGAGCAGCTAGTTCAGGATGGGTAAAAAAAGCAGATATCATTTAATTAAGAAAAAAACAAACAACAATGATGGGGAAAAGCTGTTGGCTGTGATTAGTGATTGCAGTGCAGGGGAGAAAGAATAAAAAGAGAAATCAAAACAAACAAAGAATTAGGCTTTTGAAGGAATTTTTGAAGCAGCAAATACCCCTTTAAGCTTGCACTTGAATCCAAAGGGATTGTTCATGTCCCAGATTATTTTAACCTGGTGGGTGAGGAATGGAGAAGCACAGTATTGACCAGTTTATGCCTTCCCAGGGTCATTTTAGAAACTTGTGTGGATACAGTCTGGTGACCTTCAATGATCAAAACCTTCAAATTTCTCAAAATTTATCTTGTGAAATCTCATATTAGGGATGCCAATAATAAACCTGGTATAAACAGAGCTGCACAGCTCAGCAGCAGGGTGGGGTTCTTTTATAAAATGCATACCCTCTGAGCAGAGAGCGGGAGCTTTGGACCCAACAGTGAGTCTAAACATTTGCAGACTCTGCCTGTGCAACCCTGCTACCGGCCTTTGCATCAGGCAGGCAGGATAGAATTTCATAAACATTGTTAAATAATGTCAAAGCCTTGTGCAAACTGAATTGCCTTTTCTGTACACACAAAGTTGCCTGTGTTTTGTCTGCATTTTCTACAGTTTTGAAATAAATAAACAATAATATTGTGATTTACAACTTCTGTGCTGATCATTGACTTCATGAGCTCCGTGGGAGTAGTTGATTTGCTAGACCCTAGGTTGCCAGTTTATCTTTCTCTTTGGGGTACAAATCATGTCACAACATTTATAAATAGTCATAATGCTTTTTCCAATAAATCACTATTTTTGGGTGTCCTGGTGTGGCCCTGCATTGTCTGACTGTGAGAGACAGGAACTGATGAAATAATCTTCATTTGTTCCAGCCATTGAGAGGCTTTAAGCAATGTATTTGTGTTAATGTAGAAACAAGGAGCCTGCCCACCTGGGAAAAATTATGTGTTCCTGTGGCTGGGGTTCACAGGCAGTGAATTTACATTCAGGTAAATACTTGTGACTGATTTTCAACATGATCTATGATCCAGATATTTTGTCCCATTGAGATCCATCTAGCTTGGTGCACTGTCCCTGTGATGAACAGTAGTGGACACCTGAGACAAGATTACAGGAGCAGTGCAACTGTGGGCTCAGACCCCCTCTAAATATTTCCCTGTCTCTAGTATGATGTGGCCCAGGGATTTTTGTTATTGTGCTTAGTGGACCCAGGTAGATTTTATCTCATGCATTTGTCAGGTTGCTTTCTAGAAATATGGTAAAGTTACTATCCATGGCATCCTTTTGTCCTTCCTTGGTTCTGGAAGGGTAGAAATAGTTTTTGTCTGAGGGTTTCCAGCAGGCTGTCTCTGCTCCTTAGGCAGCTGGATCAGTCAGCTTTTTGATACGCCTCTGTCACTGCAAGTGTGTGTTTGTTTGGACAGCCAGAGTCACTGTTGACATTGGAGGATTTCCAGCCACCTCTTTGTACTGGGGCCAGAAGTCAGAGGTTCTGGATTTTGGCCCAAGGCCAGCATGGCCACAGGCATCGTTACATACAATTGACTCCTGAACTGATGTTAAAACAAAAATAATTTCTCCATCCCCTGCAGTACCTCTGAGAGATTAGAGTATAGCAGATTGCCTAGAGACCTCCTTGCTTCTCTTCTGTGCCTGTGCAGTGTCCTTTTCTGTCTCCAGTGAATGCTGAAATGAAGAGATTTTGGTGCTTTTCAGTTGTTCAACAGGGCACTATGATGTTGCCTGTTGGGTGTTGATTGAAGAAGACAGTGCTGGGGAAACTGAGAGGTAGATGTTTCTCCGTGCTGAGGCCCCTCAGCGCTCTCAGGGGTCACCTTGCTGGGTTGTTGGGATGTGGTGGGTTTGTGCATCAGACACTGCATTGCTGCCCGTGGCCCCTTTCCCATCACCTCGCTTGTCAGTGCAGTGGAACAGCTCCACAGCTCCTGTGCTGCCCGCTGGGCTGGACAGGCTCAGCAGGGGAGTGGCCTCGGGAATTATCTCTGCCTTCCAGAGACAGGAGTGCCCTTGCTGCTTATTAGCAGCTGGGCAGGTCCCTCTCAGTGCTATGCAAAGCAGTGGTATGACGGCAACAAGACTGGCCACAGGAAGGGCTATGGTTAAACAGAGCCAAATTTAAAAGCGTAATCTGATGGGAATTATACACGTGCCATTTAGATTTAACTGTGCTGGATATACAGCCTTCCTAAGCTACTCCACTTGTTAGTAAGGAATTTTCCTGCTGGTATTAACTGTGGCAAGCCCTATATATTTATTTATAAATAAATATACGTGAATATGGGTATAAATGTATGTATATGAAGTGTATGTAGACCAGCTACTTTGATCTATTGTTTGACTGCTGTAGTCACTGAATAACTCACTGGAGTGAATGCAGCCACAGGGTGAACATTTGCAGACTGAAGTTTTAAGATTGATAGAATGAGAGCTTAGTTAGCTTCAGAAAGAAATTCTTTACTTTGTAGACACATGCCTTAATATATCTAACACTGCATTAAGATGACAGCCTTTATAAAAGAGCTAACTGGTTAAGTTGTCCATATACATTTTGCCAGACTTACAATACTCCAGTCACTTTGAGGGGTTGGGTGATCTATCGTGAATGAGGAAGTAACATCATTATTTCCCCATTTTCATCAATCCCCGTGGCAAAGAGTGTGTGAGCAGCTGTTGTGCTTATGGTCACAAATTTTCAGTTTTGCAATGCTGTCCCAAGGCAATGGGTCAGAGGAGGAAGATTGTGGCTCTTAGCTCACATCGTCCCTCCCTATTACAATAATACTTCTTTTAGAATAGCGCTCTGAGCAGCAGCTCTCTCTCTTCCGTGACAGCATTTCAGCACACTGAGCTAAAAAAGAAATGCATCTCTTTTAACAGGACCATAAGTAGCTTTGGATGTATAACGCCTCTATAAAACTGCTTGGCAACATGATTTATTAGAGCAGGATCAGTGGTAAAAGTGACTTCTCTGACAGTAATGGATGAAACACTTCCAACATAGCTACTCTGTCTCTGCTTGGTGCCTATGCCAACAGCAGGCTGGTTTTGTCAGCTCATTCATAATCTCTGCTTTGCTCTCAGCAGAATCCATTGCACAAGACAGGTTTCAGCCATGGCAGATGCTTTTTTTTCTAGTCCTCTGTGGGAGCTGCTGCAGAAGATGGGTCAGTGCAAATGCTACTTAATTCCTGAATTCTACATCCAGACCCTATACCTAGGTGGGAGTTGGGTGCATGCCACTCCCATACCCCTCACTGCTGCCCACCCCCATGAAGAGAAATTTCAGTGACTGGGGTGAAAGGAACTGCACTGTTCTCAGAGTGTGAAATCTGACTAATCAGCAGCCCAAGGTCCCAAGGAAGTCTCAAATGTATTTTCTGTGCAGTCCCTGTGAGAAGACTGGGTTGAGGAGCCTGAATCGAAGGTGCAGATTTTTAAAAGTACGGGTGGAAGTGAAAGATCCCAGAAACCACATCCTGCAATTTACCATGTGCTGCAGCACCCTGATCTGCACTGTGACTTCAATGACCTTGGGTGTGCAATGTGACCCTGGCAGTGTGACCCAACTCTAGGGCTCCTTGTGGTGAGACAGCAGAGCCCAGCCCGTGCCATGTGGGCAACTGCACCACCCACCCTGCCCGTGTCTTGACTTGGAAGCTGGGTGGGTTCTAAGAGACATTCATGCTTGGGATGTGTCTTCTTCAGCACATGAAAGCAGAGAAAGATTGCCATGGCAACTATTCTTAAGTATTTTTCCAGTGTTTACCAATCTTATTCATTTTTTCTTATATCCCTAGTGTTAATTTAAGGCCTTTCCTAATTGGAAAAAAACAATTGAAGTGAATTCTCTGATTAGACAAAAAGTTCGGACACCTTCCCACACAACTTATGAAGTATAAGATCAACAGAATTGAATGCTGCTGTGAGTAAGAGGAGATCTGAAATTTGAAATGCATTGTACCCAGACAAATGAAATAAATGAAGCCTTTTACTTAAAGCAAAACATTGAAATAAAAGATAGTGTACAGCATGACAATTCTGGGTACTCCCTTGCTTCTAGGCTGTTTAGTCATTGATTGTAGATCTTCTCAATCTTCTTTATGACTCAACTTTCTGAAGGAACATCTTTCCAAATCAACATGTGCTAGCTCATTGAAGTATCTTTCATGAACTGTAGTAATGTTTAGTCTGGGTGCTTTGAAGGGGATGGTTACTGCAGTGTTATTTCTTTGGGGTAGTTATCATGTCTCTCATTTTCCAGTACCTTGCTTCCACTTTGTGTGTATTTTGGCTGGGATAGAGTTAATTTTCTTCATAGTAGCTGATGTGGGGCTTCGGATTTGTGCTGAAAACAGTGTTGTAATGCAGGGATGTTTTTGTTATTTCTGAGCACTGCTCACACAGAGCCAAGGCCTTTTCTGCTTCTTGTTTCAAGTAGGTCAGGGGTGCACAAGAAGCTGGGAGGGGAGAGAGCTGGGGCAGCTGACCCCAGCTGATATTCCATTCCATATGGTGCCACACAGCATATAAAGTGGGAGGAAGAAGGGAGGGGGATGTTCAGAATGATGTAATTTTTCTTGTTGAGGAACTGTCCCACGTGATGGGGCCCTGGTGCCCTGGGGATGGCTGAAACTCCTACCTTCCCATGGCAAGTGGTGAACTTGGTTTGTTTTGTTTGCATATGAGGCTTTTGCTTTACCTAATAAACTGTCTCTATCTCAACCTACAAGTTTTCTCATTTTTATTCTTCTGCTTCTCTTCCCCATCCCACCGGGATGGGCGAACCAGCGAGCAGCTGTGTGATGTTTCACTGCTGGCTGGGCTTTCACCATGACACACCTGCACACCAATACCTACCTGTGGGAAACCCAGGCTGGGGGGGAAAGAGGAAACCCTGTGGAGGTGTAGGAAGGAGAAGGTTGATGCCTTGGTTGTGCAGACTGTGGGGAGGGTGGTGTGAGGGTGGGTTGGCTGAACGCAGTGTCTTTGGTGGCCCGTACCTCCCACACTGGCCCTTTGCCTTTGGATGTTGGCAAGGAGATTGAGGAGCCCCGTTCAATAGGGCTTATGCCATGATGGCTGCAGCACAGTTATTCACAGAAGAGGAACCAGAGTTTCCTCCCAGCTTCTCCAGCCCTGCCTTGAGACAGACTATGTCTCCTCCCTACAGCAGGGCCCTGGGAACAGAGATCTCCCTGGAAATTCCCCTCCTGACTCTCCTCCCACTGCGTTGCCATATGATTTGCACAAGATTCTGGTACACGCCTTTGTGGAAAGCAATGCTCTTCCTCTGAGGACATCTTTGGCACTGCTTCCCTGGAGGGGCGAAATCCTGAGGCACAAAGTGCAGCTGAGACTGTTTGAGCACTCCTCCCTGTTCCAAGGCAGGGAGGGGAAGAGAAATGACAGTTTTATGAGATACTGTGTCTTGGGAACCTGGTCTAAAACACCCTCTACTTGGAAACCTGCCCAGCTGATTTCAAAATTATGAAAGCAGTCCTGCAGGTTTTGATCCAAATGGGGTAACAGGGCCTGGAGCAAATAGAGGTGGAGAAAATGGGTGCAGTTTCAAGCACACAGGGCACCCAGGTGTGGTTTTGTTCCTCCTAAAACCACATTTTGTGT